GCAATAATAGACTATATTATACTTTAGTATAGAAGAATGATGCAATATTTAAATATATGTGAAATTAACTATCTGGGTTTTTTGTGTGAAAATTAGTTTTTCACTTGTCCATTGAACAAATATTGATTGGACATCTATTATGTGCTAGGATAAAAATAAAAGGATAAAAATAAAAGGTAAGAACTTATGCTCTCATGGAACTTAAAATCCCATAAAAAAAAAATCATCCAGTTTACACCCCATTATTTAAAAATTCAACATTTTTATAGGAAGGAGAAGATATACAATTGACAGTTCATTTTCTTTTTTTTAATCTTTTTTAAAAGATTATCCAGTATTATTCCTCATAATGAAAAAGATCTTTTCAGTCAAGAAAATAAACTCCAGTGGCAAATAAAAGAGAAAAGGACTAAAGTAAAAATAAAATGAGATTTTACTTAAGCTCCTTGTAATTTTAAATTTTTATCACATAATTATAAATTAAAACAATCTTTATGGGGGGGGGAGCTTAATAACATTTGTCCCAAGTCTTAAAACCACATATTTTAGTGTGGTAATTCCACTTCTAGGAATCATAAATGCAAAGATTTGGATATAAATGTGTGTATAATCATTTTAGAGAAAAACAAAAAAAACCCCAGATATTTGAGAAGAAGGATAAAACAATTACAGTTCATCCACATAACAGTCTATTATACAGTCATTAAAAAGATGTTTGCTGAGAAATTTTAAAGTAAAATGTTTACCATATAATTTTAAGTGAATAAAGCAAAATGTAAAACCCTATGTATCCTAAAATTAACTATGTACACAGAAAAACAACCTATCAAAATTTTAAAAATCTATTGGAACTACAATAAAATGTTAACAGTTGTTATTTCTGGGTGAAAAATTGAAATTTCAAAATTTTCAAAGTCAAAGATTCTGAGGATTCCTGTGGTAAAGAAATACATTTGATTTTAATTACCAATCAACTGTAAAATATATTTGACTTTTAATACACCAATTTGGTAAAATCACCAATTCACAAAGTGCACAAAGAGGAAACATTAAATTCAAGTAAGTGGCTAACACTTGTGGTCTCCTGAAATTAATAATGCATTATATTATAATTGGCAATATTCCCATCTTAAGACATTTCTTTTAAACTTAAATATAACTAGGCAAGTGTGATTTACAAGTTTTAATTTCACACACTGAAATTTTTTCTCAAAAGATGTTGAATGCTTAATTTACTATTAAAAAATGTTCACAATTAACTACCTACTTGAGACAGGTTTTCTATAGCAAAGTTAAGTAGTAAACCTTCTGCAGAAATAATCTGGAGATATTTTTGTCGATGTAATAGTCTGACAGCAGAAGAGTAAAGTTTAGGAATCCAATTATAGAAATGTTGACTTCTCAGGAAAATTTTTATAATCTGAAGTGAACATAAAAAGCAATGTAAAAAAGTATTTTGACCAGGGCTAATCACTCTGGAGCTCATGAGTAACATCACAGTACACCATGGCCTTAGGCCAAGTAATAAAGTGCCAAATGGAAAATGGCACAAGTCCATGGATTGTAAATACTGTATCAAAAGAAAATAAAGGAAAAAAAAAATCTTTCATTAGAGCAATTAAAAATGCAGTTGTGGTACCAGTTCCTTTGATGAATAAATCAGTTCAGCAATTCCAAGAGTGGACAGCCACTGCTTAAACACATTCTCCATTGGCAGTAATTTTTTTTTTTTTTTAAAGATTTTATTTATTTGACAGAGAGACACAGCGAGAGAGGGAACACAAGCAGAGGGAGTGGGAGACGGAGAAGCAGGCTTCCCGCTGAGCAGGGAGCCCGATGCGGGGCTCGATCCCAGGACCCCGGGATCATGACCTGAGCCGAAGGCAGACGCTTAACGACTGAGCCACCCAGGTGCCCCGGCAGTAATTTTAAGTTTAAAAAACCTACTGTGTTTCTTTAGTTCCTAAACTTTTTTAAACACTAAAGTGTTTTTGGATGGTGCAGTTGGTTTATAACCACATCACCCAAAATTTTCACATGTGGCATTTGATGACTTCTACTTGATCCATTATTTGATGCGACAGTAGCCAATAAAATACAGGTAAATACTACAAGTAAAAGTATTCATACCAATGTGCCCAAACTTTAGACCATAAATTCCAAAGAAATGGAAAACTTCTACTAATCCAACATCAATCATCCATTATTCCTTAATTCCAGTTGTCAAATTATTCATACTAAATTAGCACATTATGTTACACAGCTTTGGTAAAACCCCAAAGTTAAGCTGTAAATTCATTAGTGAATTTGAAAAAGTTTCAAAAAGAATTTAAAATCACATAAAGCTGCCTAAACTAGAAGCTAGTCCTTGGGGATGTTCCTGTCTCTAGGGCACTGTTTCCCACCTTAATTTACAAAACAATTGTGTTCTGTAGGAAGTTAACAAGAGTCTTTGCCACGTAAGCTTTTGCTAACTACCATAAAACCTAGTGGCTCAAAACCACAGACATTCGTCATTTCTGACAATTCTAAGAGTTAACTGGGTGGCTCTTCTGGTCTGGGTAAACTTCTGGCCTGGGGTGAGACAGTTAAGCACGGTGTCCGTCACATGTGTGACAATTGGCAGAGTGGCTGCAAGGAGGGGATCTCTGCTAAGAGGGCTCACTTCTGCTCCACATGGTCTCTCATCTTCCAAGACACTAGCACAGTTTTCTTAGCATAACTAATTCTGGGTTTCAAAGAGCAGCAAGAAAAGGCAAGCCGCAGTGCTTTCAAGCCTGATTGCATCATGATTGCTAATATTCTATTAGCCAAAGCAAGTTACATGGCCAAGTACAAATTCAAAGGATGGAAAGCTTGACTTCATCTCTTTTATTCTGGGAGCTACAAAGTTGCTGTGCAAAAAGGGCCAACATACAGTGATGGGAAGAATCTGCCGTCATTGTTTTTGCAATCTACCACACTGTAAAACGCAGAAGGTATCTGCTCCACACGGTCCAGGGCCAAATAAGTTTCCATAATAGCTCTCTTTTGACACTGAAAAGCTCTGCAGCAAAGAAATACAACTGATTTTATTTAAACCAGTATTTCCCAGACTTATTTGGCTACAAAACACATTTTCCAAGAACATTCTTACAAGTAAAAACAAAAAAAGCAAAACAAAATAACAAAAAAAGTGAAAACAAATCCACTGATTTTGCCCCACTATATCATTCCACACAGTCTATTCCACTGACTTAATACCCTTTTAGTCTCTTTAAGTTTTTGGGGGTTTTTTTTGTTTGTTTGTTTTAGCTTACAGCAATTAAAAAACATTAGTTAATGACCAAGAGAACTATTAATATATATACAATGGGGCAACGGCCACAAAACTATGCCTGGCTCTCTAAAAAGGCTCTAAGTTTTCAAATAACTGTAATGTTAGAGCTAGGGAGTATCTCGGAAGCAATAAGACTAACTCAAAAAAGAAAAACTAATGGAGTGGTATGACTGAAGCAAAGGGAAAGAATAGTCACAAAATTCCATTCTTCCATCAGAGCTCTCCTGAAACTGTCAGAGAGCAATCTGTAAACTTTCCTCAAGTTACACTAAGATATAAACATCCTAATGATCAAGCCAAATTTAACAGTCCATTCCCTATCCCAATATAATGTAGGACATGCCGTCAATGCTTTCTTTCAATGTTCATTTTCCAGAAATATTAATATATTCAAAGAGAATTATAAGGCCATTTTTTTCCAGAATGCTAGGCCCACTCGGGTGATAACTTAGCAGATGATTCACCCATAAAAGGTAGCTTCTGTTGCCCTTGTGGTGATTTGACTGTGTGTCAACTCTGCAAAGCATGTCAATGATGAAGAAAATGTAAAGGAACCTGAGGAAACACCAGGCATCAATAGTAGAGGCATCATAACTAGAAGATTTTTTTTGTTCTAAAATGAGCCTAGTAGACATTTTAAGAATAAATATACAATGAGCATAGAACCCAGGAGTTGCACTCTTGTGCATTTATTCCAGAGAAATAAAAATTTACATTTACACAATACCTGCACATGAATGTTTATAGCAGGTTTATTCACAATCATCCCCAACTAGAAACAGACCAGATGTCCTTCAACAGATGAATGGTTAAACAAACTATGGTACAGCCATACCATGGCATACTACTCAGCAACAGAAAGGAACAAACTACTGTTGCACATAGCAACTTGGATGAATCTCCTGGGAATTATGCTAAATGGGGAAAAACTAATACCAAATGGTTGCTACTATACAATTCCATTTTATAGCACTTCTAAAATGACAGAATTTTATGGGGCGCCTGGGTGGCTCAGTCATTAACCGTCTGCCTTCAGCTCAGGTCATGATCCCAGGGTCCTGGGATCAAGCCCCGCATCGGGCTCCCTGCTCCGCGGGAAGCCTGCTTCTCCCTCTCCCACTCCCCCTGCTTGTGTTCCCTGTCTCGCTGTGTCTCTGTCAAATAAATAAAATAAAACCTTTAAAAATAAATAAATAAATAAAATGACAGAATTTTAGAAATGGGTGCAGGAACAAGCTAAGTATAGTTATGAAGGGGCAAAGCAAGGGATCATTATGGTGATGGAACTATTCAGTATCTTGATTCTGGTGATGGACACACAAACCCTTATAAGTAATAAAACTGCACAGAACTAAACACACACACACACACACACAGTACAAGTAACACCATGGAAATCTGAATAAGATCAGTGGTTATATCAATATGAATACACTGCTTGTGATCCTGTAGTATTGTTTACAAGATGTTACCACTGGGGGGAAAGTAAGTGAAGAATACAAGGATCTCCCTAGGTATTTCTTACAACCGCACTGAAGCTCTAATTACATCCATAAAAATTTTAATTTAAAAAAAAAGTTTTTTTAAAGTTTAGTCTAGGTAGGTTCTTTCCCTGGAGTCTCAGTTTCTTTCAGAGTTCAATTCCAACAGTGTAGCTAGCATGGGAGTACAAATGGCTTACATTTGGTACATCAATTGCTACTTCCCTCATGGCACTGGGCCTGATGTCATTCATCCCCTGTAAGAAATCATTTAGAGTAATCTTCACCAATCCAGCCAGCTTGCCATCAGAGAGATTAGGTTGTTTCTTCAGGACTCTCCTTAAGGCATAAAGACCTGTAAAGAGAAAAATAATACAAGATTTATCTTCTGCCCCATAAATACAGACTAAATCGTTACCAAAAAATGAATAACGAACCCAAACTTCACACATATTATAGCATTTAAAATTGTGTGTGCTTGTGTGTGTATATATGGAGGTAGGGGGAGGTGCCTGACGAATATGGGAGATGAAGGCAAAACTCCAAATGCTTAGTTTGGGTGGTAAAAAATATGACAAACTGATATGAAATATGAAAAGACAGATACTTTATAAACATGAAATAATACTTACAAAACAACATCTGCAAAAAAAAACTATTAAAGAGTTATCTAAATAACCTAGAGAATAACATACCTCTTGCCTCTGCCCTTTTTATTCACAAATTCAACCCAGAGTTATAAATTTTGTAAGGTATTGGCAGAACATCTTAAAGGAAATATTCAGCAGTTGGAAACTGGTTTTGGAACTCAAGAAAGAATCCAACTTTAGAGTTGTGTGCATACACATGAGATCTGGTATTACAGGAATAGCAGAGACCTATAAAATGAGGCTGGAAAGAGACCAGGGATGAAAGAATGAGAGCTAAAGTCTCAATCTTAAGAAAGCCTATCATTTGAAAAGCATAAGAAGAAATGATGGTTTTAAAAAAAGACAGAATAGAAAGAGATGGAGGAGTGGAATCAAAATAATAAAATACTGCAGGAGCCAAAAAGATGTTCAACCAAGTCAAAGTTAGAGAAATCAAGAATAACTTAAAAGAGATCATGCTGACCTGGAAAGTGACAGATGCAAATTATTTGTTTTTGCTATTTGCTTGCAGTTTAAACCCTGACAGAACTAAATGTCCTAATTCCCCTTCCTTCACAGCTAAGTTGCCAGATTTAGAGCCCTTTGATCTGTGACAAAGACCTCTAGGCAGCAAAGTCCCTAGCTATGTGCTCTTTGCCTTGGCGTCTTTAATAAAGTGAGACTTTTGTGTTCCAGTGAATGATGAAGGTCCACTTAGAAGAATTCTGGTCTCAGAAACCCCTTAGAAATTCAGCCTAAATAACCAAACTTGTCCTAGGACAGGAGCTAGCTCCATAATGTTAACGGTCTTTTGTCTAAAACATGAATGCTATGCCTCCGTGAATTTTTTTACAAAGATAAAATGATACCATAACTATCATTTTACTTGCTTTCATTTATTTGAACTTTTATAGAGAAACAGAAGCATTGATACAAGGAAAGCAGACACAAACTCCCAAAACAGAAGGCTAGGTATCTTTGCTAGTAAGAAAAAAAAGTGAGTATCTCAACAATATTGAGAAAATCGATCTATAGTAATCTTTCCCAGGAAACTATCAATTATTTTCAATGTGAGGAAGGGGTTTGGAAAAAAAGACAATATATTGTTTTGAAAAGCATATACAATATTATAAGTGTATATTTATGAAATAGCAAAACATCTGTGATTTCAAATGCAAACTACAGAATTTAGAGCTGGGCAAAAATTTCTACATCTATGAAGATAGCAAGAAAAAAACAAGTAACTCCCAAAGACAGGAAAGGCAAAAAAATAAAGATAGGAGTTTTCAAAAGTTAAGAAATAGTGAAACAGAAAGACTGATTCTGTTATGAACATATCCAAATGATAGATAACATATATTTACCTACTATTTCTCATATAAATATAAAATTAAAAGACAAAAGTGAGCCACTACTGAGCCTATCAATCAAGAGTTGAAAAATAAAGGTTTGAAGTAAAGTCATTCCAGCTAGTAAAGACAGTAGATTAAATCCAAGCACTTACTTTTGCTCCCTCCTAAAACCCCACTACAATGAGTATAAGGGGACTTTTTTTAAAGAAACATAAACCTGGAAGGGCAAACAGGAGAGAAAACAATGTAATAGCAACAAAAATTTTGGAAACTGAACAGCAAATGAACAAGTAGTAACTGAATATAACTGACCCAGGAAAGCTGACACACTAACATACAGTGAGAAAAATCTGAGAGGAACCAGATTTATGCCAATAGATGCCCCTCCTATTCACCCTACCCATGTATAATCAAAAAAGCTCGAAGTTGGACAGCATAAATCACTTCTGGAAAAAAAAAAAAGAGAGAGAGAGAGAAAAATCAGGGTTAGAAATAGAAAAATGGAAGGTTAGGAGAGAAGTCTATTAGGAAGCAGTTAGATCATCAAGATCCCCACCCTAATTGCATGGAGTCAAATATCTTCTCCTGTACCCTACCTCTAAAGATGTCTTCTCTCAGTAACACAAACCATTTCTGAATTGAGGGGACCCCAAAGTACAGCCAGAGACAAGGGAATCATATTGAATAGAGAAATTAGTGAGACTCCCCTCCCTCCTTCTCCACTCTGCTCTTCCCCACTGCTCCCAGAGTTTACTATCAGGATACACCTACCACATATGTAGGTAAAAGATCCTTCTACAAAGGTACCAGCCCAAGAGGAAAGACTAAGGATACTGACGGGTTCATTCACCCAAGGAAAGGGCCCATGCAGAACTCACTACACGGAAGACCACAAGCTCACAAGCCCCAGCAATTCAGACCACCTAATCAATTTTTAGGAACTCCACTCTCAAATATGAGAAAACACCCGAAGATCACCAGATATCTAAGGATGCCTTCTAACAAGCACTGTAAAGAAACAAAATACATAGAAAAAAAAAAAAGCAACATAGAAGAGCCAGCGATAATGTAAGAAGAAACAAATACAAGAGCAGTGGTGCCCTGAAAGATAATTTGGGTAATTTAAGGATTGCAAGCAGTTGGGACCTAGAGAAAGGCTAGCAAGTTTTTGCCTCCCCTCCCCCCAAAAAACCAAGAACTATTCTTTAAATAGAGGTAAAGAACCTGCTCAAGATGAGTTTCTAATGAAGTAATAAGATCAACAAGAGATGCTGAGCAGAGGCTGAGATAACCCCAGAGCCCACTATGACCATGTAGAGGTAGCAAGGAAGGGAGCATGCAGTTAGTATGAAAGAGTACACAAAACACTCTACTTCTTTCTTGTAATTGTCTTCCTTTTCTGTTCATTTCTGCCTAATCTGTATTAAATATTTGTTTTCTAGAGCCTATTATTCTTTTTTTAAAGATTTTTTAGGGGCGCCTGGGTGGCTCAGTCGTTAAGCGTCTGCCTTTGGCTCAGGTCATGATCCCAGGGTCCTGGGATCGAGCCCCGCATCGGGCTCCCTGCTCGGCAGGAAGCCTGCTTCTCCCTCTCCCACTCCTCCCCCTGCTTGTGTTCCCTCTCTCACTGTGTCTCTCTCTGTCAAATAAATAAATTTTAAAAATCTTAAAAAAAAAAAAAAAAGATTTTTTAATTTATTTATTTGCCAGAGCAAGAAAGCACAAACAGGGGTAGCCCCAGAGGGAGAAGGAAAAGCAGGCTCCCCGCTGAGCAGGGAGCCAGATGTGGGCCTCGATCCAGGACCCTGGGATCATGACCTGAGCTGAAGGCAGACACTTAACCAACTGAGGCATCCAGGCATCCTTTCATTTGTATCTTCTTTTCTCTCTCACCAAAAATACCAATAGTATACTCCTGTCTCTTGAATGGACCTTGGTCTGACTTCATAATCTTAAAAATCTTTTCAAAGAATGAATTTTTTTAACTTTGTTGTTTTGCTCTGTATTCCATTAAATCTAACCTTATATTTTTAATTTCCCTCCTCTTGGGTTTATTCTATTGATCTTTTCCAAATACTCAAGCTGAATGCAGTTATTTTTAACCCTTATTTCCTAATAAAATATATTTATTCTGATTTCATCTTAGAGAATATTTAAAACAGAATTTTTACTAACATTCTATTCTTAATATCTAATTTGCTGTATGATGTCTTTTGTAGCTCACAGAGAATATTTAAATATTATCTGATTTAGTTTTCAATTGTACCACTTATTAAATTACTGACTTTTAGCTTGAAAATCATGCTTCCATACCCAGCTCTGAGGCTGAGACTGCCAACTACTTTTTTGCTCCATGGTAGACTTTGCCAATGCTAGAGCAAAGCTGAAGAGGGAAGAAGGGACTTTATGTCCCACAGACTTCCCATCTGTTTGCTATTCCCGTGACCATCATTCTACCAACCCTTAGGGGACACCAGCACAAACCTAGCAGTGTTACCTTCTCAGAACACTGAGTTAGCGTTCAGAGTATCAGGCTGGTGCTCTTCAGGCATCTGAGTTACAGCTCATCTCCTAGGTTTTAATAATTTCAACTTTTCCCTTTGTTTTCCCAGCCTCAGGAGTGATAGCTCCTTCCTGTAGCTGCTACCTTCCTTTCAATTACCTAGTTAACAATTTTATAATTGGTTATCAATTCTTTTTTTTTTTAAAGATTTTATTTATTTATTTGAGAGAGAGAATGAGAGACAGCACGAGAGGGAAGAGGGTCAGAGGGAGAAGCAGACCCCCTGCCGAGCAGGGAGCCCGATGCGGGACTCGATCCTGGGACTCCAGGATCTTGACCTGAGCCGAAGGCAGTCGCTTAACCAACTGAGCCACCCAGACGCCCCGGTTATCAATTCTTTATATGAAATTTTCTCTGTAAAAGTAACTGGTATAGGTTCTATCTCCTAATTGGATCATGACAGAAATAACAATCCCATGAGATTTTTTTAGAATTATCCTTTTTGTCTCTCCTGATTATATATATATATTGACTGACGCTTTTAATAAGTGAGAGCAAAATCACTCAAACATTTTAGGAGGATAATGTAACTTGACTCCCCAAATCCAAATATGAACAAGAAAAAAATGTTTCTCCCTTATGGGCATAGGGCAAAAGTTCTAAAGAAGAAACTAGCTAACTAAATCCAACAGTGTACTAAAAAATCCATATATTCACAAAGAGTTTATCTCTGAAATAAAAGGCCAGTTCATCAGAAAAACTATAAACCCACCACACTGACTGAATTGAGAGTAATTATTTTTACTGATCTAGAAAAAAAATATTTGGTAAGATTCAACATCTATTTGCAATGATAAAAATAATTTAAAAG